AAATAAAAATGTTTGGGTAGAAAACAAAAATCTGGTTGATAAGTGAGGTGAGTAATACTAATTCAAATGCAGACATATCACCCAAAATGACTGCATAAAAGATCATTGGGAATTTTGATTGCTCAAGATAGTAGTGTAGAGATGTACTCTGCCCTCTTGAATTTCTATTAAACCACCCTCAAGTGTTTACACTGCCTGATCAAACATAATCATGCACTCTTTAATCATCATTTATTATTTGGATTGAGGCCGACCCAGACCCTGACCCTATTTAGTACATTTGTATTAACATGCAACCATATACTCACACACAAAGATATATGTCCATGGCCCAAAAACCTTACAATGTATCACTCCACAATATATTATGGTAACACCTCAAGATCAGGACCCAACTACTCTAAGCATTGCCTAAACCAATGGTTCTTAGCCTTGTTAGACTCAAGTTACCCTTCCATAACTTTTCTGAATTCAGAGACACCCTCTCAAAACTATTTGCATAGTTGTTTTTTTTCACTACAGAATAGTACCAACACAAGTCTCCTGTTGCAAAGGCATCAAAAAGACCACAACAAGGCAGAATGCTTTGGACACTATGGATTCCTATTTGAAATCTCTGAATTCACCTTGTGAATCATGTAGAAGTGCGAATATTGCACAGCATTTCATGGAACTGTTAAAAGGATCTCGCCACACCCCAGCATATTGCAGCAGCCGAGGTGAGTACCACTGTTCTCAACTGATCTAATGTAGTCTGTTAAATGTGTGTGTCACTTGCGCAGTATGGAGTAAATATTTCAAAATGATTGTGGTCCAAGGACACCTAGAATTCTGACATAACATGATATTTTAGTGGAGTATGAGCTTCTTCGACCAATTGATTGCTTTACATATTAAAAACTCTGAGTTTCTAAAAGCTTTCCAGACAAAAATACCACCCAAAAATGAAATGCAAAATGGTATTCCAGAGGCAAAGGCATCTGTCTGAGGAAAATGATGTGATGTGACTTGGGTTTGTTGATAAACCATCCTAAGAACTGGAACATGGTTTCAGGTTTAACTAAGGAGATATTAGAGACATTTTAGTACTATTCCATAATCTCTCTTTGAGTTCCTTGCTCCAGACTGGCTTGATCCAAAGCTCATTGAATTCAGTGGAAAAACTCCATTGTCTCTGTGGCATAGCATCTATATTATTACGATGTTGAAAGAGGTTTGTTTTATTTCTTTTTTTAAAGCCAGGCACAGATCCTTTCTTGTGAGTGTTTATTTGGAAGGAAAGGGAAGTGCCCTGGAAGCTAAAAACTTGTATTGCTTTGCAATCACTATATGAGAATTAACGCATGGTAAAGCAATAAGATCCCTATTTCTCCTCATTTTACACCAAGGACTGAAAAGGGAGTTGAAGAAGATTAATTACAGTGCCTACTAATCAATGCAAAGACATATTTTCTGCTCCTCCATCTCATAATTTTTATTTCATCTAGTTTGGATTTTTTTAGGGTTGCCAGATGTCCCAGTTTCACTGGGACAATCTTGGGTTTTGAAGGTACATCCCATCTGCTCTTGAAAATATTTCTGTTCACTGCTCTCTTGTTGACTGTGTGCTTTTAGAGCAGCCAGCCAGCAAAGGACTGCGGGAGAGAGCCTGATAAATGATTATCAAACCATAAAAGCTACCCATATTTGCCCAATGCTGAAAATTAATTCTGCAGGGAGACCTTATCACAACAAGTAAATGGTCACCATGGAATGTAAGAAATTATGACCACAACTTTCATTGTCATTCAGCAATTATACCTTACGTGTGCACATTTCCAACTGGGTGCTGTAAATTTGCTCTTACCAAATTCCCAATCGGTGTGGTGCACCCAGATTTATGCAAGTAAATCAGCTAACTACTCTTCCAAGTCCCTGGTTGGCATGCTGTTTATTTGTGCAAGGGCAGGCTTTCTACACTTAATTTTCCAAACAAAAAATACAAAGTACTTCAGTGAACAAGGGTTGGCAACATATATCTGTGGACTCTTTGGATTCATCCCATGGATCCAGGGGGCTTCAGCAGTATTCTAGCAGCAGGGAGCTTTGACCCATGTTCGTACCAGACAAAGGCAGCTGGGAGCTGCACCCACACTGCAGTAGGGAGACAGGGAAAAGCAGTGGCTGAGTGGAAACACTGACCTGCCTCAGAACCCAAGTGGATTGTTCCAGGCCATAGCTCCAAAAAAATTGCCAACTGCCAGGAAAAAAGAATAGCTTTGCCTTTTGTTATATATATACATATCAGCAACAAGATCCTCTTGAAAAGTGATGATATGCTGCGCAACATCAGTCACAAATTGGGGCCCCAAATCTGATTAGTCAAGCTCATGAAAAGGATGGTCCTAAGGTGGTTTAGAGGTAGTGGGAGAAGCGTGGTTGGAAGAAAGTGGACATGGCTGATGTGTATCTACAGCTGAAGTTTTAGTTCATTGAGCTGCTCCCTCTAAGTGCTCTCATAAGAGTCTTGATAAATTTTTTAAATCTGTCATTTGTCACTTTTCTTAAATCTTCAGCTTGTGGACTCACGAATATATACGAATGCCAACTTTCCTTTAAAACTGAAAAAGGAAAGATTCTTGCAGAGGAAAAACTTGTAACCCGTTTGCTTAAAATTTAGACTTGGAGGATAAGTAAAAAGGAATCCCACGGTAATTCTGTGGCTTAACTCTTCATTTTTGAGTGCCTGGAATTGCAGTTGGCTCTACCAAAGGTATATATGCTTCTCTTATGAGCTGACAAGTACTGGATCCAGGCTCTTTAACCCTACAAAAGGTATTACAGATGCACTTTGAATGGATTATTTACTTCTAAAGGAGCATGACATCCATCTCCATGACTGAAAAATCATCAGTACTTATATTCATCCATATATTTCATTGTCGACATACAGCGTTAAGACAAAGAAAGGTGTGTGGTTTTAAGCAACATTTAGTGAATGTAGTGAATTATGCAACTTTATGTAGTTTATGCATTGCAATAAACCAACTTTGCTATACTGAAAATGCTCGTTTGTGCTAAGGCCTTGACCAAACATTCCCAAAAGCCTCTTTTGCACAAAGAATTGGAATGGTAATCAACTTCCGAACACATTTTAAACTAACCAAAGTAAGTGTTTCAGGCAGGGGAGGAAGCCAATTTATGAGCAGTGCATACCACTCAACTTAATGAGACAGATGCATATTGGAGAGAAGGAAGATGTTTCTGAGAGTGTTTTAGTTTGTCTAACTGATTCCAAGGACCATCAAGAAACTGCTTGGGGCTGATTTTCACAGACCCCAAAACAAAGAACATCTCAAAATATCTTCTGGTAACACCTCCCGTATAAAAGTTAGATCTTCAAACACTCACTTCCATAAAAGACTGAAAAACAGACTTCTGCACTGTGCTGGGTCATTTCAAGAGGGAGGCAGGGAAGGAAACTAGTAAGAATCTTTTATTTCTTTATATCATTATTCCTGTTAGGGTGTTAAACTTATTATTTTGCCAGTGAAGTCTACTTGGGTTACCTGAACAGCAACTCTTCAGAAAAGGATCTGGGGGTTACAGTGGACAATAAGCTGGGTATATGAGCCAATAGTGTGCCCTTGTTGCCAAGAACACTAATGGTATACTGGGATGCACTGGTAGGAGCACTGCCAGCAGATTGAGGGAAGTGATTATACCTCTCTATTTGGCACTGGTGAGGCCACATCTGGAGTAGTATGTCCAGTTTTGGGCCCCTCATTGCAGAAAGGATGTGGACAAATTGGAGAGAGTCCAGAAGAGAGCAATGAAAGTGGTGAGGGGGATAGGGGACATGATTTGTGAGGAGAAGCTGAGGGAACTGGGCTTACTTAATTTGGAGAAGAGAAGACTGAGGGGGGATTTAATAGCAGTCTTCAGCTACCTGAAGGATGGTTCCAAAGAGGATGGAGCTGGACCATTCTCACTGGTAACAGATGACAGAACAAGGGGCAATGGTCTCAAGTTGCAGCAAGGGAAGTTTAGGTTAGATATTAGGAAAAACTCTCACAAGGCGGGTAGTAAAGCATTGGATCAGGTTACCTAGAAAGAGAGTAGAATCTCTACCCTGGGAACTTTTTAAGACTGAGCTAGACAAAGCCTTGTTTGTGATGGTATGGTCGGGGATGATCGTACTCCGAGCTAGACTAGACTATATCATAGTTTCTCAACCTGTGGTATGCGTACCCCTGGGGGTACACAAGATACAGGCAGGGAGTACATGTGTACCCCAACACACACTCTCTCTCACCCTCTTTTCCTTTCTCTGTTGCCCCTTCCCTCCTCTCAAAACTATAGCAAAAAATTTGGTGCACTACGCATTGTGCAGCGCTTTAAATTCCCCAGTAATAATTTGGCTTGCTGTGCAAAGCTTTGGCCAACCCTTGGTTGGTTCAGCCCTTCTAGCTTTGACCAACATCACCTGTAGCCCAGGTACATACTTGAGTTTGTGCACCCCTGGTGTAAAAGGTGGCAACCCTACCCACACCAGATCAGAAATCTGTCATATCACAGCCTTATATACACAGCCCTTCCTCCAACATATGGCACCCATTAATCTATAAATATAGAATCCCCCAGAAAATTGAGAGTTGGGGTACTTATTAAAATTTTCAGAAGTTAGGGGGTACTTGCTACTTAAAAGGCTGAGAAACACTGGACTAGATGACT